GCTACGATTGATTTTGTTTACTGAGTCGTCAGGTGTGCGGTCAGATATTCATTGGCGTAAATTTGTGTCGGAAACTTTGGGGATGGGAAAACAGGATGGGGGTTTGTGGTGGAAGTGACTTGCCCTGCCGCAAATAATGTTTACACAACACGCTGGAGAAATCTGACTTGTTCAGATTATAATTGCATCTCTAGGGGATTTTTCTTTGTTCAAAGGGAAGTTTGAAGCAAACCCCTCCGTCCCATTTCTTGCCGTGTATATCCACGGTATTTCCCACAGGAAAGTACCGTACAGGGTGTATCCCCAGACATGTGTAATTTATAATTTTAAAAAATAAAACACTGCCAGCCATTTTAAAAATATTTTAAAAATCAGGAGGGCTGCTGACACCATGATACTGCAGGGGGCGATGTTCATGTTACAAATGTACGTCCTTAATATGAAGTCCAGCAGAATATAACATCAAAATGGCGTGTTTATGGTGTTTAAAAAACTTTCCCCTTTTTGAATGGTGTTGAAAACAGTTTGGTTGTTGGGAAGTCCGAAAAATTCTTTACAATCGGCCTTAAAAAGTGGGGATAATATACCCCCATCCCTGGGATTTACACGCATGAGATAGGTCCAATGTTTTCAGCACAAACCTGTCCTTTCTATAGAGTTCTAATTGCCCGATGATCCGACAAAGCGGTAAAATAGAAAAGTGAGCGGCGGGCCGGCTTAATATAACGAAAGTGCAGTCGTGCATACTTCCAACGTTATCGTTAGAGAGAAAAACTGAAGTGACTTAACAAGCAATAAACATAAAAAATAACTACCGGGGGTGGAAACTCGGCACCACGGATACCTAATCAGCACATACGATAACCTGAACGACAAAACACCGCCGTGCCAAACTTAAATAACGGAAAGTTATTGAAAGTGCTTTTGTTTTGTTTCCTTCCATGGGACTTAACAAGGACAAACCTACTACGAATGGAGTTCCTCAAATAATAGGATTTCCTTACTTAACAATACAAGGTCTTAGTTTCTCCGGTAAAATATTACCCACAAATGACACAGCCAGTAATGTGTAGCCAATGCTACAGACGTTGGGTGCAAAAACTCCGTATTTGAAATTATACGAAGAAACTGCGGACAAACATCGACAAAATATCGGATGTTGCTGAACAGCAAACTGCCTCTAACCTTGAAATGCAACACCCAAAGCTCTTTTGTTCACTTTAACATTTCATATTAATTAAAGCAATGCATTTACATCGAAACAAGTTCCACCATACTAGTAGGCATACATGTACAATCATTCTAATGGATCGATTTATTGTAGAGCAATCTGCAAGGTCATTATGATCACCCAGTTTCATACAAACCCTGGCATCTCCACTGAAGAATAAACCCGTACTGAGTTTGTTTGAATAACAAGCAAAACAGATGGAGCTGGGGCTATCAAAATACATGCGTGAGTGCATGATTGTTACTTCAGTAAATCTTGAGTAGAGTAAACTTGCCTCCCATGATCCATGGAGCTCTGTTCCACGGTTCACTTCAGCTGGCTAGTTTTATACTATAACACATGATTAAGCGCTCAATATAAAGTACACCTCATCCAAGAATTCTGGACATTTCTGCCCCCATCACACTGACAGAGACCAGGAAGACCCCCGGCTATACGTTATGAAAATTTCACTAAAACGTGGCTAGGACGGTAGGAAACTAGGAAAATTGGACGAAAAATTGTTCTTTCATGCCAGGTTGTTACTGCATTGCCGGCACGTACAGATCTTTTTCACCCACGTGACTGGATTGCACTAAATGTAAAAATTCCACCACGTGTTGACCGCCTTAGCCATAGACTTGAAATCAAGTCGGTAATTGGCTGGGTGTAGTCCACCCTCCTCGCGATGCGTACGCGATGCGGTTCGGCGAGCAATTTTATAACACGCGGGAACGGTCAGTGCAACCTTGCTCCCCAATATGCGTGTCCGACGGTGCCCAATTACCGACTTGAACAATTTGCAAGCCCTTTTGTGCACACCACATGGGCTTGCTACCAAAATTGGACAGAGCACTCTGATTGGCTAAGAATCCCGATAATATGAATATTTACTTCAGGGCGGTTTGATTGGTCAGTTGAAAGCTTATTAACAATAACCACACTCTCGTTCATTGAAGAGGGTGTTTACATTATCCTATAAAGATGATTTGCCATAAAAGCATTGATTCTCTTACCAGAAAAAGATAGTTAATAGATTTGTTCTGGAAAAATTATGTATACTTTGTCTCTAAGCGTCGAGTATTAAAAGGGATAGTATTGCAAGATATGAAAGAATCTGACACTTATCAATTGTAGAGATTCCTACAAATAAATGGATGAGTCTGTTTTGTAGCGTGAGCTACTATTGGCACTCTACATGGAAATATATGAATCACAATGTTCAGTTGTTGCAACATGCATATCCATCCAGAGTCAGGTTGATTAAGTCATTAGGCCGGCACAGGGGTCGTGGGCCGACGTGCGCCGAAACCCAGTGTACTGAACAGCCCACGAGCAGGGGAGAATCGGTGTGGCATGCTGGATTGATCAGTGGCAACAGTGAACGGGCTTCGCACTAATTGTAAAATGGTGCAGCGTATGGACGACAAACACGACCAACTAACGACTTGATTTCAAGTCTACCTTGGCCAAGGTGATTGTATATAATTCTTACGGGCAGCTTCAACCAAGTGCAAGCGCACGTGCGAACTCTGCATGCTTGATTAGTTTATCTTGGATAGGTAGATAACCATCACAACGCTATGCAGTCGTTACCATCACAACGCATCATACGTCCAGTACGATCGTGGTATCGCAGGAAAAAAGACCTGCCCGTAGGAATATATGCGATCACCGTGGCCGAGGCGGTCCACACGTGGTGGTATTGTTTACATTTGGTCACGTGGGTGAAAAAGGTCTGTGAAGTTTGCATTACGTTCTCCGCAACATTAAACTGAGGGTGAGTCCCGACTTTGCTAAGATGCAGTCGGATCGTTTCACCATGTAAAAAACGTCGATACGATTGTACTACGACATGAAGGATTCCAGCACGAAGGTACCGGTAATACGTTATTGCTGCATGTATAGCTTGTGCGGTACGCTTGCAGCAAGCTGCCGTCATGTTTTCAAGCATTTCCTTCAAATGTTGGCTGAAACAGTGCAACCCATCAGTTCTCTGGTGGGAAAGGCATAAATTTCTTCCCGATTGAACTACGCTTGTACCACGTCAATAAAAACTGGATAACGTTACGCCAAGACTATGTGTACGCCGTCTTTACCTGGGTGTTAATACGCTGTCACTGCTCAAAACTTTGGCAAAACTCCCCTCTCAATGAAGACCCCATCACGTTTCTATCAGTTCCTTCTGAGTTCTTACTAGATACTGCAGTGTTCAAAATCTAACCATTGGCCTCGCTTTCCCGATCTTTTGAGGACGCAACTTGTTTGAGCGTGATGTGGGTTTTAGAATTAAGAGCAAATAGATGTTCTGTGCGCTTTTGTCAATCATGTGTTGAATGTATCAACAACATTCCGCTAAACTGGCGTTTTTAAAAAGCACCCGATTTTTGACACCTTCGTTCCTTTGTCCAGTTATGTCCAAACTGGGCGCTACGGCTTGAAATTATATACAAGACTCGATTGACAGAGGCTGCAGCCATACAGACTCGTGTGTAATTTCAAGTCGTAGTCAAGTAATTCGAACACGGCCTTAGTACCTGTAAGTTTTGCAACAGGGTTTGAGAGAGGTGGGCCATACGGAGAGACGCATTTGGTATTATCATTTATGGTTTTGTTGCTACAAGTATTGACGGCAACTCGCTTTTGTTTAAGGTAAATGAACGCAGAAGTGTAGTGCTGATAAGTGAGTCCTCTAGAGTAGGCCATTTTGTTTTTACTACAGAATGCACCTTTACAGTTCAAGCACCTGCAACGTGAATAATTGTGGTGTTCCATAGTGTACTCCTGTTCTTACATTAAGTTTTATGTACAGCGTGGCAACCAACCTTAATATCAACGTCATTCAGGGAGGTTATATCATAAAAGGAAAAAAATCAGTTATCAATGAATTCACATCCATCTTTCCTTTCCAAATCTAACGAATGTTCTTGTAACACACCACCCTTAACTGCTAAATCTCCTTTATTAAAGCTTAACAACAGAACAATAATGCATGGTTCTCTATTAAAACGTCTCCTGTGAATTACTGTTACGTGCAGACGATTACCTCGGTCTTTGGATGAGAACGCTGCAATAAACGCGGCTCAGACATGACAATCAAGTCTGTTCGTCGGTCGATGAGTCTTATCTGTCGAGTCCGTTGTTCAACTTGTCCTGTTATCTGTATCTTATGTTTGTCCATTTACACTGTTTTTATGTATGTACAAAGAAGAATAGTGAGAATCACACAATGCTCGAGAAGCCATGCATTTGAAAATAATTTCCAGAAGAGAGACAAAAGGAATCAGGGCAGATCCAAGTTCGTTGAGGTGGTTAGGAAGTTTTGTTTGTAGAAGCAGAACTTCGTGTGGTTGTCTCCGTTGGTGAAGCTATTTAATCTTTTTGTTTTGTCCTTGATGCAAAATAAGACCCCTACACAGTTTATGCTTCTCTAGGGGTCTTCTAACCTTTAGACGTGGACCTGTAAAAAATGACAATGAGTATTTTTTTTAACCCCACCCCTCATTCCGAAATTTATATCCTTGTAAAGACACAGGCCTATGGCTTTGTTCTCCAGAGAGTGTGAGGAGTACTAACATGGTCGCTTGTGAAACGATGTTTTCAAAATACTCCCATTTCAACATGAATCACTCTCCTAAGCAGAAGTTTGTCCCTTATATGAAACACTTCAATTTGCGACGGATTCTTACGCATTAAAAATTTTGAAAAATTTCCAAAATATCAGTTTCGTGAATCCTTGTGGAGACCTATACACCTTTAGAAATTCCTTGTGGAGACCTATTCAGCCCAATTCTCCTGGGTCTCCACAAGGCACCATATTCCGAAACACTCACCCCCCCACACACACACACACACTCACCCGGACCCGCACATGGGGATAATTGCAACAATGCAGTATCAATTTATCCCTTGAAGGTGGAACACAGGCTATAAACAGACCACCTTTATTATTAGAATCGTGACATATCATGACAAAACAAAGCCGAATTAAAAAGAAAATGATATCTGAAGCTGTTTTGTAACGAGAAAACTACAAACCCTCACAACATTTTCATATGCCCCACCGCATCAGCCAGACACTAAAACTAGCTTTGATCACCTTCTCCGTGGTATTGTCCGCTAACAAAGTTCCAGTCTTTTCCTTTTTTTATGATCTAATAGTCCAGTTCAGCCACATAAATTCTGTAATAGCAGACCCAGTATGTAATGACGAAGACCACATAAGTGACTGGAAAAAATACCCTTGATAGTCTGTCTATTCGGATGGCGATCAGTTTACAACGTTTCCTCGCAGCTAACACATTCCCTTCATGCTGCAGTTTACTATACCCCACTTCCGGGTCTGAATCCTGATGGCCAGTGTAGGAGTTCTTACGGACTGTACGGTAGTTCGTCTGGTAGTTATAGCGGCTACCAAACCGGCTGTTTTGTGAGTCCGTCTCGGAGCACTGGTCACGGAATGAAGGATCTTTGTATGTGTTGCTGTAAATGTAGCTGTTAGTTTGTGGACTGTTCCCAGCGTGGTACTAAAATCAAACAGATGGAAAATTTGGTTGGCAGTGACAGTTTTAGGATAATTGCGGAATTTGAAATCATCTAAAGAAACAAACAAACAAACACCCCAACACCCCAACAAACAAACAAACAAACAAACTTAGGACTGAACATGATTGAGAAGCAATCTTTTCCATTGGTTTCGTTTATTCTATACATTACCGGTGCCGGTGATTTGAACGATTCTCTTGAAGCAGCCCATCGTATATGTTTCTCTGCTTTGTCCTTGGTCCACAAATAATGAACCACGGCGTACTCGAAAAGACTTCCGATGACAAACGACAAGCATGCATCAAACCATAAATCGATCGCCTGTAAGATAAAATGCAAAACCAAAGTGTTGGCTGAAGGTGCAGCAATCTTCAATGGCAATTTGGGGAGTACAGCGGTCCAGAAATTTGTAAAAGTTCTACTGACTGAGTGGCAGCCAAAATTTTCCCCGAAGGTTATCCCAGAGTATTCTACCTGAAAAACATGTTTTAAAGGGTTACCATCCAGGCCAGGAAACTGTTTGGAAAATGTTATTTTTTGTGGCTTGAGAAACTTTGAGACTTTTCATTTTCTGAAAGGTCTAGATGGAGTAAGCGCGTTCTGGTTCAAACTAAAACGTACAAGACGTAGTGATAAAGGTATACATGTAATAGCAAATCCTAGGTACATGGAGAGAGAAAGATTGTTTAGGATTGCTAAAACAGTCCTATATATTTACCAAATGCAAATTACATCTGATTGTGGTAGTCTGAATTCCTATATAGAACTGTGTTTTATGATGGTTGGAGACGCGGCGCACTGCAGCCTCCAACAGCTTGTCAGAAACACACATACAGTATAAGTACGTAGACGGGCAGCTCCTATTCAAAACAACGGCGGGATACCGTAGCCGAGAAGGCACCCGACTAAATCCAAAAGCGTGCGCAAATTCACCCCTTGGTATGGGGAATTTACACACAGTTATACAAATGCAGCTATGAAGCCATTTTCCAATTGTGAAAAAAATCCTGTTTATTTAATCTGGCCCATGCAGATTCGAAACAGTGTGGTTGTAACATTGGAGATAGCAACAGATAGCTGTACAAAAGAGTAAAAGGTTCTAAGCATGCTGCATGTAAGTGCGTGCAATTCGCACTGAACGCAGTGCCATTCACCATTTGCCTACGCTTTTTAAAATCACGGTTATACGCGCAAGTCTGGTGGTCTATGTGTTTATATGTATGTGGTCAGAAAGAACTCAGGCTTCAACGCTTAGAGCGACAGGTGGGGTCCTTGTAGAAATAAATCCACCCAACAGCAACTCAACATCGGTTTATCTGAATCCGGTCTGAGTGATTTGCCCTGAAGTAGAATGTCTACTTTAGGTTAGATTCTTTACAAGGAATGAGATTTTTCTTTTCAGATGACCCAGTGTTCAGTGAGCTGCCAAAGCAAAATGTTCACGACTGTTAACTTTTCACAAGACTGAATATGCCCAACAATTCAAATCGCAAGACGTCCTACGCAGACTGCCTATGTCTTCTTTTTATCGTTTCAAAAGCTGTGTTGGTCTTTATCCTCTCGGTCTTCATGAATTCTAGAGACTATAGCAGTATGCGCTAGGTCAACAAAAATGGCAATGATTTTGCATTCGAGCCGAAAAACTACGGATCTGCATCCTGTTGTTTTATGCAAAATTGTCCGTGATTGTGATTATTTCTGTGTTATTACTAGAGGGTGTCAAAGGACTTTAATTAAGCATAATGCTTGAAATCAAATATTATTACTGGATTACACTGGCAATGATGCAAACAAACAGAAGAGGAATAGCGTTTGGTAGCATCTGGCATACTGCTTTGAGACTGACGTATCATTTCATGTAGCTAAATGGCGCTTTATAGGAACAGAAACATACATGTATATTCTACATGTTACTGAGGAACAACCTATCACAAAAGTCTGAATTCATAAGCTTCGAAACCTCCTTCATTTAGCTGCAAGGCAATGTTTTCCAGTTCGCTGTTCAAATGAATGCATGTATGTCAAACATGCGTGAGTCGCACGATAGGGCACCGGAGAATGCCTTGGCTCTTGTGTGGTTAATTTGACGGACATCCAGGAACGCCCCTCTCAGAGTAGACCAATAAATCAAGCAAATTCGTTGTGCTTACTCGTTGCATGTTAATCAGCAATAAAAGCGAAAACAGGAAATTCTCCGCTTGTTCGCTCAATACTTGGCGCAAACACGTTTGAAATGTGAATAAAATGATGGAAGTAATGCTGCTGATCTTTTGCTTTCGAACAGCAGCCATGCTGCCAAGATTTTGAAAAGGAAATTGGAAAAGTGCGGAAGCAGTCAAACGGAATCTTACCAAACATCAAATGTTCCCTGCAAGACCTCTATCGGCAGAAAGTGCATCAAATTATGAAAGTGCCATCACATCTCAGAACAGCTCAGTACAGAAGGTGTGAATGTACTTTTAGTTTAACGCACCTCGTGGTTGGTATAGCCATAAGTACAGACGAACAACAGGACAACTAGCCAAAAATTCCGTTCAGCTGGCAACTCACTGATTTGAACTCAGTCTTAAATCCAGAGTGTTAAAATTACACCAGTAGTGTCAATGAGCCAATTTAATCAATGATTTTGATGACTTTGGATGTTTTCTGCAATTAAAATGTCACATAACTTTAGTTTATGTTTTTGTCAAAATTTAAATGGGGCATTCATCGCATTTTAAAAAGTTATCCCGGATATGTACTGCAAGTTTTGTCAATTTACGCGTATTACTTCTAACTCTAAAATAATTATCCTTTTAATAATTACCGAAAGTTGGTCACTTGGGAGACATTCCCATAGGAACGTGCAAAGATTTTTAAAACTTAACCGTCCCATAATTCAATATTCCTTAATCCGATCTTAACCAAACTTTGCTTGTTTTCCTTTCCGACCCTAATTCATCATCTCTCAAAATGTGGACACTAAAACTTTTCCTCCTTTGGTAGTTGGAGCATTAGGGAAACATTGAAATATCTCCCTAATGACCGATGTCTCCCTAATGGTAAAAAATTTATCACAAAATGTCTCCCAAGTGACCTATTTGGAAATATAATATTTTATATGTACTTAAATACTAAAATAATAATGCAAAGGTAACTGGTTGGAATAAGAGAAATCCCTTCCCCGAGCCCTCTACATCTCTTTCGCCCCTACTACTTAGTCTCAGAATATGGAGAAGGTAAAAGCTGATCAGTAGATGTACGCCATGCTAAGTGCAGTTTTCACCACGCCTTTACTACAAAACTAAGATGAATGCCATTTAAGTGCCCCCGTTTCATCACTTATAGCAGATTATGACGTCAACTAAACAATAATGTGCACGAATGTCATTTATTCAGCGCAACCTTCCGACATTTTTACACTGAGCACGATGTTCAATTAAGCGTTTTCAGGGCTTATGAAGTGCCGTTTGAATGGTTTTGTTTTAATTATTTCCATTTATTTCTGATGACTAACAGCGGTTACCCACCACTTACAGGCATCCATGAGAAAAAGATAAAATCTCCGAATTAAATAATGTGCAAATAAATTATATAAATAACCATAAGAATGATAAACATTAAAACACACCCTAAACTTAGCAAAGTCTTAAAACACCAGTACGAGGCTGGGGAAGAGTGGGATATGCATGGACAGACAAACAGGGCTCCGTAGAGAAACACAAAAGGAAGGGGTGGGGGCGATAGAGAGGGAAGGAGGGAAAGGCAAAAGGATGAACAGCACATGTACATGGAACATAGGTGTGTGAACAAAGAATGGAGGCAAGGGGGACAAAACACAAGGGATAAACATTGGGGAGACCAGGGAGGGCAAAGATCAAATCAAACAGGAGTCCAAGTTGAATAGTGGAGATGTGAGGGCCAATTTAAAAAAAAGGATAAAGTTGGAGTAATGGTATCACTCTAGAAAAGAATCATAGGGCTGAATAAACACAAAGTATAAAAAAAACTATTATGTACATACAATCAGGTAACTCGTACATACACTCCACCATACACATCACAGTTTCAGGAATGCCATAGGCCTACAGGTATTCTCCCTCCTCGCCGAATGACTCATGAATTTCAACCCAGATTTTCTCTTCCTTTTTAATTTACTCAAAAATCTAGCAAACGGATATAATTTTTTTAAGTTAACCATTATACTAAAAAACAAATCACACTTCAAAGAGACTTCTTAACAACCGAGAACAATTTGATTGATGAAACAGAAAATCAATCTTAAGGTGCGTCATCACATGTTACGGGTTAATTCCATCAAAGACCCTTTATTAAGAAAAAAACATGGTGTGCGATTGATTGATCGTAAAATTAAACGTTTGATGTAGGCCTACAGCTTATAGCAAGAAACATAAACGTTAACTTTGTGCCTTTCATATGCAACTCCATCACAATTTAACATGGCAGTTAATTTGTTTTTCTCGTTTTTGTTTTTTGGTTGTTTGTTGGTGTGTTTGTTTGTTTGTTTTTTCTTTCATCTTTATTTCGAGAATATCAAGGTTTGATCTTTAGGTGTGGAATTCAAGGTTTCTGAATTCGTCCCAGACTGCGCAGTGTATGCCAACCGTGTCTCTATGGCAGCAGGCAGCAGTATTCGAAGTGCGAAGTGTGTATGTTGATGAAATTTTACACACCAATTGGGAAGCTAAGTTGTAACAATGGTATTGTACAGTGGTGGCACATTTTTCATCCTTCCCTAATTTGTTTGAGTAAGATAACACGATATCCGTTATGGATTTTGCAGTGCCATCTCTGTAGTTACAAAGAAATCATACAAATATCACAAAAAGAGAACTGCCAATTCACCTTGGTATAAGAAACTTTCGGCAAACCAGCAAATGCGCCGTAGCCAACAGTCGTGGTTGTCATAGTGAGAACGGTAGTCACACCCAGCGATACTCGCGCCGCTGCTTGGCCAATATCGATCCAGAAGGACACCCACGAAATCAGCACCAGCAATGACGTAGGGATGTAGGTCTGTATGATGTAGAAGGTCAACTCGCGGACCAAGGTAAAGCTGAACTGAATGCAGGAGAAGTTCGCTGGGTAAGAGGATTAAAACAAATAAAATTTACCTCTGAGTTTTATTAAGCTAACAAAGGGATGGTATTTTGCATCCCTTTTCACCAGACGAATGGTTTTACACAGCGTACACATCAACACACCCAAATTGACCAAAGAATGGAACTTGGTCACAGTTCCAAAATGGGCATTCATTTCAATTGTCCATTGCGTAGTGGTCCGTGAAGGTAATTTTTAAAAAGTTTCAGAACAAGAAAATTTAAACAAGCCGAGATGGACACTTTTGGAGACATGCTGGCCAACCATTCAGTGCTACGTTGATGCATTCATCACTGCTTGTATTGAAGTGACAGTAGTCAGAAGCTCTTAACCTGAAAATGCTACATAATTGTAACAATAATCACGATGGTAGCAACATTTGGATGCTACATGCCTGGAAAAAGCATTCGGGTGTCAGTTCTTGTTTTCCATTGGCAATGAAGCCCCTAAAGGTAACAACACCCGTAACGATCCCGGAAATCACATGGCGTTGCGACGCGGCAAACTCGTAACTATACGCAGCCTGCACTAGTTTTAACCGTTCAATGTGCTGTGGTATATTGAACGGAATGAATATTAATAACCAGTAACTCTGAATCGATTCTTAAAAAATTTCTCTACAAAAATGGTGAGGAATATAAATTAAAAGTATTCAAACGTCAATTAAGATACGCAAAGGAGGAAAGGTTAAACACATATAATCTACAAAAATTATTTAGCCAACTAACCCAAATGACATCGTAAATAGTGACCTTAATTAAATTATGCATATCCAATGTCCTTGACGTTATTGATTCTTGCCAGTGGCAGCATGTGTGAATTCTTAAAGCAGAGCTTTTGAGAAACTTCGTCAAATAATCCTAGGTTCAAGTGTTTGATAATGGGCCTATCTATAATGATAATGAAAAACATGAATAAGTTCCTACAATTATCTTCGAAGAAGCAAAGGATATGCGACTATTGATTTCAGAAAGGGAAAATGCCGGCCGATAAATCTAGAATATCTTAATACCCATTCCAGATCAACCCGTCAGGCAGGATTGTATGATAAAGCTCTTAAACGCAAGAAATGGTAAAGTGATAGCAATTACTAAGTTATGATTCCCTAATACAGGTCGAGTTTCCTGTAAATAGGAGACAAGCCCAGGAGCAGATTGAAATGAGAAGATCTGAATGCTGTCTTAATATCGTTATTTTGGTCTTCCAACACCTCACCATCAGCCGGTTTGTGTATCCAAAGGGGAATTGTGAGCCCTCAAGCGCTTCCAATTTAAGGAAAAAGTTATTTGGACGCTGCAAAATCTCGTGGATTTATCTGTAAACGGAGAGGGGTTGGTTTCGTTTTCTACTTAATCAAGTGTTCCCTATGCTGAGTTTATGTATTACAGATTAGATAAGAATGACATATTTGGGGCAAACTATGAGACTCCTTCAATTCAAACACATATCACCAACTTTTGAATACCCGATGATTAGCAGTACAGGGAAGGGAGGAAGAAGTTATTATTTTTTCTCGCTTCTTCGACGATTAACGGGTAATTTAACGAAAACTATTGATTTGTAGCATTTAGGATCAATGGGTGACCAATAGTTAGTCAGCTGACCAAAGCAACCAGCTGCCAGGAGATCCAAAAATCCATCTCATGTCAGGGTTCCCTCCTAATACTCAAATTTCTCTTTTATTAAGGTATCGGCCTTGTGAGTTGCGATGGGAACTTCTGATAACCTAATTATGTTCTTTGTTTCTAAAATCTCAAAATTACATACCGTTCCTCATTAATTTGGGGGCAGATGATTTCTATGGACTGACTTGAGAGGTTCCATCCAATAATTTTCTTCTGTTTACTGTACCCACTAACCGTGCATACACACAAGCTGAGATCCAGATCTTCTATTGGGGGTTCTATAGGGATGAGCTGCAGGCTTATACACCCCCACCCCCGTTTCCCAGCTGCATGCATAATGTCCATGTGCACACTTAAAACAAAGCCTTTGCACAATAAAGGGTTTTCTGAATTGTTATAATCTATCAAAATAATCGAAGACTGTTTTCTTCACAATTCCCCCGCAAAAGTAAAAGGTCCTCAAATAAGTTTATTCTTCCATAAATTTCGCAAGTGGATCCACCAAGTTACTACTTTTGTTGGCTTACAGATCTCGAGGAGCTCACACGCAGGTCATCATACAATCTCTCAGGCATGTAAAACATTTCACTTATTACCAAAGCAGATTTCAAGATTTGACATAAGTTAAAGTATGAACTTGAACCTGAATAATTCCAGATTTTTCTTACCATTTGAAGGTCCTGTCGATACACGATTCTGACATGTACCGAATGGAATGTCCGGCTGCATGGAGTATTGCGGTAGACTGATCTCAGTTGCCATGGCAACTGGATTAGGCATCTTCCATAATACGATCAGTTCATCTTCCGTGCTTTGATCTGACATTGAGGAGAACGGTTTATGATTGAGACAAATGTTTGTTGATAAAAAGAAAAACTTGCATTCATGAGTCCATACCACATTACTGCATGGCGACTCATTCATTTGCTCGTTTGTTTGGTGCTCCTCTGTGTTTGCTTTTATTGCCGTTAACAAATTGCTGTCACTATTTAAACAACATGATGCAGTGCGTCTATCACTTTAAGTTATAAATGTTGATAACATTTCTTATCAGTTTAGGAAACAGGAACATGAATATACATTTTCTTGTAGCTACAAGCGTTTATCATTTTTCCCAATTAATTATAATCGTTCTCATTAACTGTGCGCAATGGCAGTGCGCGAATGACAGAAAAATACATGCAAAATGCGGTTTTTTACGAATAGTTTTTTCCAAATAAAGAACAAAATACATGAAGTCTAAAACGGAAAAATGGAAGCAGAAAAGAATAAAGCTTGGGGCCAATACTTAACTATTTTTTAACTTCAATTCATGACCCTCACCTTGAAGCTCTGAATTTGTCTAGTTGATGCCCAGCTAGGCATAAGCCACAGGCGACAAGGCAGCACTTAACGGAATATTTCACAATAACCACGGATTGGTATGCACTTACGAAATCATTAACGTGAACATTTGACAGAGAAAGCGACAAGCTCTTTAATAAGGACATATTCATCGCAGCATCATGTCCGTTTTGTTTTTTCTCCAATTATACAGTAGACGCCTTCGTAAAGGGTGCAAGGGTCACTGTCGAATAAGCTATTAACTCCGGTTGAGAGAGAGTTTAATTCACTGCTGACGCTTTATCTTGACGTGTCATATACGCAAATTATGAGGTACTTTGACCTGCGCCCCATGTAAAACATATTTTATTCAAAATATTTGAGTGACGATGCCATTTTTCTCACTTAACTGGGCATTTAATCTTTGATAAACAGGATAACTGATATATTTTCCCTAAGAAACAAGTTTGGTGATACAGGTTTCCGTATACATGGTGTTTTGCCGGTTTGTTCCAAACTGCTTACAGTTATGTTTTACAACGGAATAAATAACGGTAGTATACATATACTTCTGCAGGATCTGTAGACACCATGGATTTTAGGAGACACTGGTGGATTTTAGGAGAAACCATGGTAGTTTACTTCCATTTAGATATGGGGTTTTAAGAAGAACTAGTGAGTTTGAGAATTCGATGTTTCGATCACTATGCCCAAGTGCGCCAAACTTCTAAGATTGGGATTAATCGTCTAGTTTTGCATACCAGGTAGTAATTACTATACTGACGGTGTCCAGGTGGACTGGTGTATCCACAAATCCGTCATAAGTGAATTCACCATACAAACCTCACAAATCTTATCGCAGACTGGTCCATTTTAATCTTTATTTATGAAATACAAGTTTAAAAAGTAGTATGTGTATCCACTACAAATAATTCAACCGACGCTTATGCGATGTTTTATTTCTTTTATATACCTTTTTTCAGTTTAATGAAAAGAGACACAGCCACAGAAGTTGCATTTTGAAGACGCGAAGACTTTCACTACCACAGAAAATAGATATGTCTATCTGAGATCAATGATGCATCTGAGTGTGGAAAAAATAGTAGCAAGTAGCCCCTTAATTTTAAATGCCTCGTTTATATGCTGTCTCTCATTGTTGAAGATCTTGCGCTAGTTGTGTTGTGCTTCGAATGTATAATTAATGTGTAGGTCTATAACCGGATATGTCGTCTCGTGAGATTCGATATGAAACGGTTTCTAGGCAACGCTAAATTGCATGACAAACGCTTTCAAATTGTGCAGCTCTGAATAGTGTGTTTTGTAATTATTCCAAGATAACTGCGTTAGATGGGACATTTACGAATCCTGGCTTCTTTCATTTTTAATACTTTACGACATACAATGCTTCACAAGTCAATAGCACATGAAGCTACGCTTTATATTGCATCTTTCTAAAATCAATTTGACCATGAATGTTGAATGGAAACATATTCTTGAAATACAGGTCCCAAAATGAAAATAACTTCCAACATAAACTATAAATTGCATCAACGATAAAGGGGTTAAGTTATAATAAACTACTGATTTGTTCCTTTTAACGTTATTGACTTTATTGACGTCACAGACGGGTGACTGAAACCTCGGCCTCTTTAAACTTACAGCTTTCGATAGCAGTCTTGCACCTCTGCTTATCCATCGGGAAAGCCTTGAAATCCATGTGGCAATACAGCACCAAACTCAATCTGCGTAAATACACAAAAACATAACTAGTCATATCGCAACAAGGAAGAACACTGTTGACGTATTTTGTTAATCACTGCAGACGTTATTGCAAGATTTTTTATAAAATAGGTGTTTTTCTCTCCATCTTGGAATGAAATATGGCAATACTATTTAATTCTCCAAGGTTTTGTCAGAATTCCGCTTGGATTCCCATAAGTGTTGTACTCAAGTCCTTTCACAAGACCCTTCATAAGTCAGTCACAAGTCTGCATAAGGTTAGTCATAAATAAAACAGTGAACAGTGACAAAGAAATGCTTTTGTCACAGCTCATTTGAATAGGTTAATTGTGCAGTGGCTTAAGACTGAAAGATTTGTGATAGACTTGTGATGGAATTACAGGGACTTGTGAAGGACTCGAATACAACACTGATTCCCAGTGCTTTTAATATGTCCTTACTGGGCTTGCTAGGTTTTTCATGTTAATTTATTATAGGTGACCTCTATTCACAGGTCATCACACAGAGCTATGAATTTTCTTAACAGACATATTAATACAGGACTATTTTGTTTGACAACACAGGCCAAGAAGCAGTAGTGTTCCCTCTTCGATTGTGGGGTGCTTACTTAACTTTCAGCCAAACCCTGTGTACTTTTGACAATTGTTTCATTGCGCCACACTACTGAGTTTATGAAGTGAATGAAGTTGAAAGTGATTTGCAACCTGGTAAAGTAAAAGTGGTAACTTGTTGTTGAGCCTGACTTCATTTTGTGTTGCAGAATTTGAGTAAAGTTTCTACAGCTGAGATACCAGAACCAAGATTGAAATGAAAAAGACTTTATTCTTGGGCATTTACTTTTTTTCGGTCCAGGTCAGACTGCTATTTGTAATTTGCAGACAATATTTTGATTGTTTGAGTAATTGGAATCTTGTTTAATTAAACCAGATTAATCTCCTTCCCTACGTCAGTCAATAATATTAATATTGTATAATTAAATTAAACCGTTGATAGTCTGGTTTTGGTTTGAGAAGAGTTTGTAGCGAACCTTGACCTATAAAGGTCACATCATCAAACGAACATTAATACAAATAACTATCCTTCCTAGCCATATTGTTTTCGTGCGTGTATTCTCCCTGGAATTTTCCTACGTCTTCAAATCCTAATTTTTGCCAGCTTCGTTTACTACACATTTGGAAAGAAACTATATAGGGAAACTGACTAGGTGCTTATAAATGATTATAAAGATGAACAAAGAAATTGAATGGAACGGGATTTGAACCTGCAACCTCTAGAACACCGTACCAGTGCTCTGCCAACTGAGCTATTCAGCCCTACGTTGGTGGCTCTTCCCGTTTGTCAATATTTCATGTTCGGGGCGCGCTAGCAAGAAGCCATACTTATTTTGTTAACTGTTCGAGGAGAATTGTTCTTCACATCGTCTGTTTTATCAACTGTGCAGTGACCGTAGTTAATATAACTGACTCTGAAAAAAGAGACTTTCTGTCGCTTGAGCGCCAATCCACGTACATGCGTGCCGGGCAAGTCGCCCCAACAGTGACTGACAGAGTCGCCCCTTTGGACGGGAGCGTATACCAGGTCACCGATTTGACCGACCACGTCGAGTTAAACTCCCTTTTGGCCTTACAGCAGGCAATAAGTGGGTGAGCGCTGATTATCAACTAATGTTGAGCAATCGACCCAACAATTGGTGACAGACGCCGAACTTTTGCACCACATTTGCTGACTTTTTGAGCCCTCACGTTACATAGCCAATTCTGCAGTAGTGTTGTATTCCCTGCCATCTGGAACCCTTCATTCACCATGGCTCAGGACGGCACTCCTGCCGCTGCTGATATGACAAATAAAGAAGATAAGCCACAGATAGCGGCCCTTGGTCTGGTTTGCCCAAGCTGAGGCCCAGTGTACACAAGCGGCTTTCCCTGCGAAGACACAAAATTTGCACACCTCTTCGCATCCGTCCAGCCTGAAATCATCCAGAAAGTGCGTGACGTGGTTATCAGCCCCCCCCCCTGGAGAACCCGTATCAAAAGCTTACGGAAGAGATGATTCGGCGCACTTCAATCTCCGAGCAAAAGTGTCTCCACATGCTCCTCACTGAGGAAGAGCTCGGTGACAAGAATCCCTCCCAGTTGCTGCGCCGTATGCGCCAGCTACTTTGTGAACGTTAAGTCGACGATGGGATTTTCAAACAGCTGTTCCTCCAACGCCTTCCGGCCAAAGTTCAACTTGTTCTCGCCTTCTCACGCGACACAGTCCCCCTTGACCTGTTAGCCACTCTTGCCGATCGTATCCTTTAAGTTTATGTTCCTCCATCCATACCAGTGATCTCGGCGAGCTTTGTGACCAAATCGCACAACTCACCATACAAATCGCCTCCATGCAGGCCCAATTCAAACGCCTGCCACGTGCCCACAGCCGTAGTTGTCCACGCAAGACCGGCAAGGAGCGCGCACAAACTCCCCCTGCTGCCGCTGCCTCCCAAACCGAGTGCGGGTATCACCGCCGCTATGGTGCTGAGGCCCTCAAGTGTGTCCCGCCATGCTCCCATGCCAGTCAGCAGAAAAACGAGCCCACCTTGCGATAGGCGCGGCACTTCCTCCTGGTACCCAACCTTGCCGCCTGTTCTTCATCTACGATCCTCACCATAAATGGAAGTTCCTAGTAGACACGGGAGCAGCTGTCAGCATTTTCCCTCCCGGTGCAGTCGAAAGAAAACATTGTCCTTCTTCACCCTGCAGGCTGCAAACGGTACTAGCATACCCACTCATGGTCAAAGATCTGTGACATTCGACATTGGCCTCAGACGTACTTGCCGTTGGATTTTCTTTCTGGTGGATACACCTACACCGATATTGGATGCCGATTTTTTAAATCACTAAAATCTCGTTGTGGGTGTTTCCCGACGAAGGATTACCGACACCAGCACCACACATTCAGTTTCACGAACTGCAGGTCCAGACATGCCTGTCAGTCCAGTTTTATTTCAGCCCACCGGTGAGTCACCCTACGACTTAATCTTTGAACACTTTCCGCAACTCACTCAAGCACCAACCATAAATGCACCTGTCCGACACGACATTACCTATTGCCTCGTTACGACAGGCCCACCCCTATGACTGCCAGACCTCGACGACTTGCCCCGGGCCGCCTTGCTATTGCAAGACGAATTCAATGACATGTTTGGATTTGGGCATCATTCGACCATCTGACAGCAATTTGTCCAGTCCTCTCCATATGGTCCTCAAGAAGGCCCCGGGTGATTGATGATCGTGTGGGAACTACAGAGTCCTCAATCGTGTCACAGTTCCTGATGCTATCCCGTTGCCTAATTGCAAGACTTTGCAACCAGTCTGGCTGGTTGCTCAGTTTTCAGCAAGATCGACTTAATTGAGAGGACGTCAGTTCGAGTCTGCGCTGTTCAGCAACTTCAAACTTTTTGGCACTTCCCGCACGCGAACGACATCTTATCACCCACAATACAATGACATCGTCGAGCGTTTCCATAGACAGCTCAAAACATCACTGAAGTCCCATGTTGACCCCTCTCGGTGGACATAATACCTCCCCATCACTCTTTTGGGTATTCGCGCCACCATCAAATCTGAAATGGGATGCTCTTCAGCCGAGTTGGTTTTCGGCACTACCTTGCAACTCCCGGGTCAGTTCGTCGCCCCATCCTCCGACACCTCTCTCTTCGATCTTGGGTCATTCGCGATCGTGGACCGCCTCAAGGATCACGTCACAACTTTCACCAGCTTCGACATGAGTCACGTCCACTGCTGCCCACTTGCCAACGGACCTTCACACGTGCACTCATGTTCATGTTCGCTTTGATGCTGTCCGCAAATCTCTTCAACCGCCATACAACGGACCCTTCTCCGTCCTCAGCTGCACCGACAAGTTCTTCACCTTGTCCATCGCCAACAAGCGCGAACGGGTCAGCATTGATCGCCTCAAGGTGGCGTACGTAGATGACAAATCCGACGAGAGTACTGTCACCTGCAGTTCCTCGAATGCCCAACCTGCAATCCTCCCTCCACCTGCGAAGACGACCACATCCACACCATCACCTGCACCACCTCCTCCAACACCTTCAGCAACACCTTCATCACCTCCTGTCGCCAAGACAACCTGCTGTTGTCGTAATGAATCCTTTCCAAAACGCCACGTGCAGTCCATCAACATCGACTCGATTTCCAGCTCCTAAAACCATCATGGTTCATCCTTTTTTATGTCCTCACCATCTAGGAAAGGGCTTCTTCAACAAATAGTATCAAGAAATTGTGTAAATAGATTATAGATTGCCTCTTTTTTTCTAGTTTCTGATCTAATCTTTCATATCTTTCCAGTCATATTTCGCCAAATTGGGGTACTTTTGACATTTTTCATACTCAATAATTTCTACAGAACAGAGCGATTGGTAAGAGAATACCCATTAAACACAGACACATAGAACATTGTCATAAATAGACTTATTTTCAATTATAGCATTGTCTTTAAGAAATCCACTGTCAAAACAAGGTGTTATACAATACAAATTCAAATTTTTATCAGTGGAACCGGTCCGGTATTTTCCAAGTTATAATTTCATCACGAAATTATCTCAGAAGTTTGATACTTGCATCATTTTAAAGACATAAATTATGGGTTTATGGTACTGGAAGTTTTAGGTGTCAAATTTGCTGGGATTGGCATGTAGTTATCCACCTTTTGCCGATTTGACTAACAGGAACATTCCATTATGTGCGATTAACCAGTTATCTTTAAAGGGCTATAATATGGCACCTGATCTTGATATTTCTGTAGGCAAGGCAGTTGATATGATAATAAGACAGGTCTGAGAGTAAAAAGATGTATTTCTTCAGTGATCTCAAAAGAACAGGTAGATACACTTCCAAAGCCTTGTACATACAGACGGCAGCTGCTGTGGAAACTGAATAGTTGAGTGCCTTGAGATAGCAGCAGTCTTTCTGCAGTGACTGCACATCATGAGGCAGCTCATGCCTGAAAAACCATGGATACAGAACAAGCTTTGAGCATGTATTTTTCTGTGATTCAAGGATTGCCTTTCATGCATAAGTTTAAGACGAGTTCTTCAAAATGCATTACAAACATTTATTCAATTTTCATTGAAGGGTATATTACAAATTGATCAAAAGATCAATCAAAGGATAGGTGTCAAAATCTTTAAAAGCAAAAGCCTGTGTATAAAGCGTGCCATGTGCAACAAAACACAGAGAAATGCAAAGAAAACCTTACGAAATATAAAACAAAATAAAATAACACCAAAAAACACAGCTAACCAAAGAACATACAAGCAATACTACAAATGTTATAAAATAAGTTGTAAATCCAGAAAAAAACTTCAAAAGGTAAAATCAGGGCAATTAGGATAGAAATCCGACTTCAGATAAGTTGAATGGGATTATGAATTCTAATTGGAAGGTATAACTTAACACCAGGAAGTACAACTTGATTGTTTGAGAGACAGTGGCAGGGAATTCCATCTTCTGGGACCAGAAATTTTAATATTGTCAGTCGTTCTGTGTTGGGGTACATGGAAATCTATGCTTTGGTATTGTAAATATGTACATTTTAAGTAGGCATAAACGTTTGGTGATAGGAGAGTGGCAGTAAATTATGAAAATAGTTGAACATGAATAAGTTAAGTTACACAAGTTAAGGGAATTATTCTATACTCGCCGGAGCTAGCCTTTTATATGAGACACGATGAGTGGCATTATTCCGGTCTGATCCGGAAGTAAAGTGTTATTGTTTTGTCTTTGTATGTTTTCCAGCAAAGAGCTCCCCTGGTACGGAATTGTTATTCCTTCATCAGCATGCTGGAGTATGACAAGATGAAAACATAAAAATGTATCATTCATTTTGCCGGGAAGCAGGCCGAAACGTGTAATATCATTGTCGTGTATTTGGTTCTCTGAAGTAGCTAAAATAATTGCCGACAATGAAATCATTTTGTACAAAGGACAATATCCTGAAGGAATAGAACACTTTAAACTAATCACGCCAAGAAATAACATTCTGTCCAAGAAATGTACTACTAAGGTATAAGTTGTTACAGTTCTGTAGCAGATCACTGCATCGAATATTAGATCTTCAGAGATAGTTTTGCAGGCATTACTTGGTTTCATTATTGCGCATTGCTATTAGCATTACGAAAATCCAAGGGTATAGAAGTGACTACTTGATCACAAAAACGTCAAAATCAAGACAGACGGAAATTCCAAGGTACACACAATTTATCTCCTTGTTTCGTGTTTGCTTCTGCGGTAATAACATTAGCTATGAAGCACGTGACAAATGCGGATATAAAAATAATGATTCTGTAACCTTTTTAAAAAAAAAAAAACGATATCGTTGCACGAACAAAATATGCCTGGCTCCATCTGAACCTGTTCGTCTTTGTTTTCTGTGTTAGCAAAACTCAATTATGAATCAATGAAAGGTTATATTTAATTGAAGGTCAATTATGTTTCTGTCTACAGGGACAACAACCTGAAATAGTCAATAAAGACAACAAGGACAAAATCAAGAATCGTGCTTTTCTGAATGCACTGAATTCAAATGGTGAATGCCCAGCATGAAATAATTATTTTGTTCAGTTGACATCAAAATGCCATGACTTCCTCTTAATTGACAATTACTGAGGTTCAACTTAGTCGCTTCTCCAGCTGATTTGATATCTGGTTCCTGCATCCAGTTTTGTATTCATACGATCGCATCAGCCTCCTGCCGTGATTGTCATGGGTGACTGCAGGGGTGCCACCGAGATCACGTCTGTTCAAACAACATTGCATTAGTACTCTTCCATCATTACTATAATTTCTCTTCCCTATCAAATGAGTGCCACACGTTCACTATTCCCAAAGGGCTAAAGCTCGTGACAAGTGAAACATTTACCCTCTGGGGGCAGAACTGCATGACGCTTCCTCTGTTGGTTTCGCCGACCCGTTGAGATCATACATATTTTTAGAAGAAAGCAATATGCTGTTATACATGTATATATGTTACCTTAATGCCTTTAGGCAGTAAGACTGCCTGACTAAGAACCTATGGCAGAACAAAATGATCCTCCACTTCTCTCAAACAATACTAATCAACCACTATGGATGACTAGTACGGGGGAAATTTGCCGGGGACGATATTTATCAAATACTTCAAAAAATTAAAGTGGAATGAGATGACCCCAACAGGCCAAGGTGAGATCATAAAAATGCGTGTTATACCGGCATGATAAGCTCACGGTGTCATTTATTAATTCCGCTTTGCTTAGCTCACCTTGCTCCAGCCAAATGTGTGCCTACGTGTCAAGTTGTTAATTATCTGTAGGTCTGCATGCAGTGTCAGGTTTTGGCTCCCTTGCCCATAGCGATCAAATAATGGAATTTACAACAAACAATTTTGAAAAGGGCGGGGATTCTAAGTGAACCATCTTGACCTGATTGATCAGGTCATGTATACTCTGCAGAAAATAAACAGGAACTAACCTGCATGCAGCATTTTAAAAGATGAACGGTATAAAACTAAAATGAATCAATAATCATCATGATTCCAAATCATCTTCATATTTTGTTTCCTTTTGCTTGACATGTTATTTATTCAGTTGTTCTGTTACTTTTCTTGATGCACTACTGTATTTTAAAGACTGCTCTTTTCGGATATTTTAGAAACTTTTATCATGCGTATTTGCCACACTGAGGGATATGTTCCATAGTATGATAATTGAATCATCTTCTTTCACCATACTAATGATATCTGAGTGAGGTGCCGACTGTTGAAATAAACTGTATTTTAAGGAGACAAAGCCCAGAACCAGACTTGACTCTAGAGGGGTCCATATTATACTTTATTTCAGGACTTTATTTTAAAACAAAGAGAAAAGAAACACCCCCCATCGGAAAGATGTTTTCCTATAAACAGATAGATCTTAAGCCAGCTTAGTATTTAGATCCGAATCGCGTAAGTATATGAGGAAGAACTTCCGTTAATAAAATGTGCGATTTCTAAACTTTATATTTTACCTATGGTGATTTAATTGGCTGTCTACGATAAGAAATCAAAAATTTGCATCAATCCAACACATTCTCTTGGTACATCTACCAGAGGCCAATTATTTCGCACTGCAATTCTCTAAATTCACCCTGGTTTCCTGGTAACTAGTCAAGTGTGAATTTGGGAACAGATGTGGACTGCAATGAAATTGAAGGCGACAAAAAGGAAGTGACTTATATGAGACATCACGTAGAAGCAGATATGGCCTGGATCGACCATCTAAACATCGCCATCCAAACATTCAACCAGTGGGATTTGGGCAAAAGTGTCACATGTGGCCACGTGACTGCTAGTTGCCCTTAACAAGACACTATCTATTTGAGGGCGCTTGAATGAGAAAGATTTGCACGCTTAAAGCCCGCATATCTCGCAACTTACATAACAAAAGCTCATATGACAAATTAAAATGTAAAAAATATATATTTGGGCTAGAAAGTTCAGCTAAGCTACCCTATCCACCCTGAAAGATAAAATTGAACCAACATCTAGCTGATTAACAGCGATGCACCGGTTGCTAATTAAAGGAATATCGCCGTATTAGCATGAGGATATTACGCCATCGTAACAATAAAACAGCATACAACGTTATATTTTGAAAGAAATTAGTTACCAAGATTGTTGCTAATTGCACTAATAGGTTACATTATTTTTGATGCCTTGACGGAACAAACTTATGAGAAAAAAAACAACACATACAAAAGTACTTTATGGATCATCGTTGAGTTGTTGAAACATTCAAAGGCATTATTAGCGACGTCTCAACACTTATGCAACAGGGATTCATTATTTCGTGAAGTTGGAAACGTCGTACGATTTATCACATAAAGTATGGGCATAAAATATGGCACTGGATTTGTTTCTTACTGAGATGTCATAAAGTTCCAACAAATGTCTGGGTATTAAACAGGTAAACAGGTTTAACCCGGTGACAGAGCGTATGTGTTGAATCCAAGGAGGGATGATACTTACTTCATGCTGTAAAATATATCCCCATCGGGATATACCCTTATCAGTCTGTTATGGACAGTGACCTCATGGAAGCTTGCCCGTTTCTCATTAGCGAAAAATAGGTCTGGTACCCAGATTTTCTCCGCTACACTCATGCCGGATGAGATGTAAGGTAGCGTGCTTATGTTTGCGTAGGCCAGACGAGGGTCATTCCAATATTCTTCCAGAAGGATCGTCATCCCGTAGTCCTAAGACAAAGTAGTTGAGTTTATTAGCTTTTTTCTGTGAACAGTGGGTATTAAAGTCAAAAAAGTTGTGGAAATAAGTCCAGACTAGAGTTTTTGCTCGTTACCACAACTTGCAAGTAGCTGGTGATGGTTTATCCTTTCACAAAACGTTGAAACACAAACCATTTTGTGGCTTACTTCATTCAGTGCACGTAGGTGTGTTTGTTTGGGCTGGGACAGGTCACGGGTGAAAAAACAAAACAAATTAAATATAAATTAAAAAAATCAATAACCCGGACTGGTAATAGGGTATTAGGTTCAGGCGAAAGATATATACACGTCATGAAGGGCTGATAAAAAAAGACACGTGCGTCTCAGCTTTTATGCCGTGCCCGAATTACTTGGCTGTGGCCTGACATTGCACACGAGTCTGCGGTAGTGAGCCGTAGCCAGTACCCTTAGAATTGGGCGAAAATTCAAGCCGCAGCCGAGCGATTCGAACATGAACTCAGTTGGGGCTGCTAAGTACGAGTGAATAAACTCAAATTGAGCGCAACTGAGCAATTGTTACAGGCGAGATTGAGCTGTTGAAAGTTTTCTCCTCTTTATATCAACTTATTGAGTGTCATAGTTAGAATTACGAGAAATGAAACTCAATTTGGTAGGCCTACATGATTTAGTTCACTCTTTGCAAGGAACAATTTTATAACAAAAGACCCTTGTCAAAAACGCATGGTCGTTGAGAAAATAGATATAGTGTAAAATTTCACGGTACATAGTGAAGTGCACAGGTTATTTCTATCACTACACCCATTTGAATTTGTCGTGGGTGACGTTATCCCTTTATTACCTCGGTGAAAGTGCATGCAAGTGCTCTCTGTAATCGAAATAACATTACCCGGGCCCTGAGTATTTGCTTATTGTTTGTTGCAAGTGCCAGCTTGAGTGCGCTCAATGCTGCGGAAGAATTGAAAATTGCCATCTGTTGAAATTCAAACGATTTTTAAAATGAAGTCCAGGATGTGCAAGCAGCCTTAAGTCACCAAATTTGAAAGCCCAAGGTTATTTTAAATCGCGAAAATCAATAGCGATGAAAGTAAATTGCATTGAATTCTAAAAACCAATGACAATAAAAACGCCTATGGGGTACTTACCATGGTAACTTCTGTAACCTCATCCATACTCAAGACGAAAACACTGCAAGCTACGATGGTCGGTAGACCTGAAAGAGAAAAAGAAGAGAACATCCTCGTGTAATGCACGATGAACGATGAAAATGGCTTAACATGTTCCATTACCAAAACATCAATCGGAGTTGGGGATGAATCTGAGCACAGGTCGGATGACGTAACATATAAAATCCGAACTAACGGTTGTCAGAATTGAGAACTCACATGCAAAGTTTAAGCAATAATTAGTAAAGGCTGATCTGTAACGCATAGGTTGTAGAACCAGGCAGTTACGTACTTCCTGAGTTACAATGAAGAACTTCCATAAATGTTGCCAGAATTCGTTTTTAAAATGAAGTTTATAATAGGGTGGCCTTCAGTAGCGTTGCCTGGGCGGGATGAAGGGAGGTAGATTGCTTTGGTATTGACATTTTACAAACAAATCAGGAGGTAGAAATTGGGTTGGAAAGGACGAAATTCTATGTTGAAATGTATGGGCAAAGCTACGCACCTGATCCCGTTTCCATAACTTCTCAGACAACTGAGTTTTTGATATGATATCTGATAGCACAGTAAGGGTGTGTTTGTCAACATTGGTGGCCAGAAGAAAAGAAGGAGGCAAGGTGAGATTCTTAAATGTTATCTCTTTCCACCAACTTGAGAAAAGCCCCCAACTGGAAACGTGGACTAAATAACTTGACACTACATGCCTAAGAAACGTAACCTGAACTGCAAGTTTATATTGAAAGCTAGGAGGTTTGCGAGAAAAAATTGTAAACCCACCAAGACTGTTTATTTCGCATGCTACCTCGTTATTTTTAGAAACATTTAAGCGACCGCAAAACACTTCACTGAAGCGAAAAGTTATTGACAGAAATAAATGAAATTCACCAGCCGTTGTTAATTATCCCGAATTTACGTCTTTCTCCAGATAGTCTGTCTCGACAGGAACGAATTTCTCGCCATGAAGGGATGTCTCTACATGAACGAATTTCTCGACATGAAGGGATGTCTCGACATGAACAAATGTCTCAACATGAAGGGATGTCTCTACATGAGTGAATGTCTCGATATAAACGAATGTCTCAATGACAGCACCAGTCAAACTTCATCACACATTTCATTTGTATTAATGTGTAGTCAGAGATAGCAACATTCCTTTATTTATATATAATAATTCCAGTTCGGCCATCCTTCAAAGCAGGCTATTGCTCATCCAAGTGCTCCATCCCCGCACTAACACAGCCTCGAGTCCGAAGTAATCGCACCCAATTCATTTGCCCGTAGATATTTTCCAAGAGTCAACAACGGTGTCCGGAAAGGTCGACCCATGCCACAAGAGAATTGTTGACCATGGTTCACGTCCATGGATACATTGTGCTCCAAGCTTTCGAGAAATGATGCAAGCAAACCCTAGGGGTCATTGGGAAGGTGTAGAATGTATGTAATGAAATGCAAAAGCAAGTTGTCCTGGTGAGCAGTTAATTATATTCAAATTAAAGCAAATGTTACGTTTAGTTCCATTGATGACTATCAAAGATTTGAAACGTATCAGAATGAACAATGGTAGAACTCACATAACACAAAGTTATTTGTTTCCACTGCTTAATGGATTTATTATTTCTTTTCATATTAATTCATTACAACATCAGTAGTCAAGCACAAACAAAAAGGTAAGGCAGAATATTTGCGTGAAGTTTCACAATGATACTATTCAAAACAAATCTCTACCACGATGGAGAGTTTGTAAAATGCTGCCATCTGCGTTGATCTAAAACAAAATAAAAACTTTTCAGAAACACCTACCGACGAATAGAAAATATAACAGGTATTTTTTTCTGTGACGTAATTCCGAAGATTTGATGAAAGATGGCAATTTAAAATCCTTATCACTACAAGTACAATCGTTACCTTTGAATTAGTGAAAATAAAATGCTAGTTTTCTGTAATTGTCAGTAATAAGTATGTTTCGTAAGGAGTAGCGGTGATAATCTTAGAGACATTAAACAGTCAACGTTGAGGCTTGCTACTATGCATGCACATGCGAATGTGAGCTCCCTCTAGGCGTGAGAGTCCGACATTACGAGTGCTGCATTAATTCATTTCCCATTTACTGTCACTCCTTTATTAGACTGTCCGATCAACAAGCGCTCCGCTAGCCGTCAGACATGACTTCAGATAATTACACCCAATAGCTTGCCTGAAGGCAGACGTGACTCAGAAGAATTCGCAGATTTACTGGCTTGGTAAGAAAGTCACTTTTCAGAATATGATATAAATTCAACTTTCCTGATTAAAAAAAACCAAGTATTTGTTCACTACAACCACTTCAATTAGATTTATACCATGTCTTTTATTTAATTACCAAAGACCACAATCAGTTTTTAGGTTACGATTAGTTTTGTTTCCTTTTTCGTTCAATTGTTTCTCTTAGTTTGACTTCAGAATTCTGACATGACAATAAGATATCATGCAACCTGTAAAGCCACAAACCTCTGAAGGTATGCAAAAATTGTGATTAGAAACAAATTCGAACCCGTCCTGTACTAATGGTAGACTCCTATTGATATGTGTCGTTGTAAACTGTGGTCCCACTACATGAATCTTTTTTTTTTGCGTAATCCACTAACTGCATTTTCACATAGCAACGAGATGCCTTTTTTTGTACCAATACTGACTTAAGATAGATAATTTATTAAATGCCAACGAAAGTGACACCAAATAATTGGAAGCACATTCCTACACAGGTTAAACCTGTGTTTGGTCGATCGCCCGCAAAAATATGTTGTTCAGGTCAATTATACATAGAGCGACAGGTGGAAATACCTGCCATAACAAGTGTTTAGGGATCCATGTCACACCTACAGAGCACTGAAGGTTCTACGGTACCGTTGTGAATCCAGGCAAGGTAGGATTGATGTCATTATTGGAGATTGCCAGTGATAACTTTGCCCCCAGTCCAGCCTACGGTAATCAGAAATTAAGCCTGCTTACTCACCCGTGCATGGCCAGTAGAGATTTTAATAAATTCCCTATAACTTCTGCATGGATTCAAACATTTCTCGTTTTGTTCAATTTTTTTAGTGGCTGCTAGCAGTTCTTTTGGCTGGAAAAGTGCGATGAAGATAGGCATCCGTCTCTTAAACTTGATAAGAACTGCTATAAATCATGAAAGTGGAATTCCTCAAGCTATTTCCAGTACCTGTCTGAACGGATATGAGGTCTAGATTCCTTGACCATGCCCTACTTAAAGAAGTCACACTCTCTGAATACTTCTCTTGACAGCTTAAAGTATTTTGTTGATTGGTCAACTTCTTTTTTCTCCTTTAAAAAAAGAAGAAAAAGCATTCATCTTAACCTAACCTTCACCCCTAAACCCCTCTTGCATATGTAACATCATATTGAAATTGGAGGATTAAGGACCGTTAGGACCATAATTAAGGAAGAAATTCAATGCAATCTGTAAAAAGCCACATGAAACATAAATCTGTTTCAGAAATCACTTTGGATGATCAATGTCGCTCTCTATCTCTCTTCATCTTTCAAGAAGGTCTTGCAACTTTCCCTTACATAATGGGAATCATGTCTGTTTCCGCCGGTCTAAGTGTAATATCCACCTGCCAATACCTCCACCCCTGGAATAATGATAGAGGCCAAGAGAGACAGGGATTTGTGATTGCGGGCGAGATTAGATGTTCGATCATGCAATCTCGTCTTACATGGAGAGTAAAAAGGTTAACACAAGCTTTCCACAGTGGAGCCATCCATACAGTCCGAGATAGGAATCAACGTTATTCAGGGTTTACAGACTATATATTTTCAAAAGCCTCATCCAGATCACCTTTATTTGAGAATCAAGTATTTTTTGTCATAAAATTTCTGAATTTGGCATAATTGAACCTCATAAACGAAATTCCTAATAGACGTATAACAAGACTTAATAGCATGTCTTTCAAACGGTAGGGGGTCGTTCGTAACCCACCCAAAACTAGATTTTTCTCCTTTATTAATTTAAAATAAATACAAAATTCTTCTGCACAAAAGGGTGATCGTGAAAACGTTCCATTTCGACTTTTCGCTTAATTCACTGTAAATTAAAAATCTGCGACGAGTCGTCACAACTCAGGCCTGGCAGCCGGTCAAATCAGCTGCAAATTGCTATAACAGCACCGATGACAGCATTACTGACTAAAGTAATATACATTCTATAAAATGCAAGAGTTTAATGAGCAGCTTAGCCTTCGGACCATTGAACCTTTTGTTCATTTCAGACTTTTGAGCCCTTGGTCGAATTAACATTAATTTACATCCGGACTGTTGCACCTTCAAACAATGAGCCCTCTTGGTTGTTGGGTCTTTGGTCCAATGATGAAACTAACGATCCTCTAGCTACTGGGAAACCTATGTTTTTGGACTAGGCCTATATGTCCTTCTGACAACTGAACCATCGCCCTATCTAGTGGACCCCGTTTGGTTATATGTTATATTCGTTTTAATATTAATAAAAGCTTAATGTGCGAGAAGCATCATGCGTAATATGTTGTAAAAAATTTCGTTTTTCACAGAGGTCAAATTCCCTTACAACTGGAACACATATAAGAGGCTTGTGGTGTGTATTGTGTCGTATGTGCAAACAACAAATATTGCCAAATGATAAGCATCTGAAATATCGGAGGTATCCTTTTCTCCAATTGCCTTATTTTTTCTTCTTCGAAGAAGAAGGAAGCAAACTAGGAAGATATCCCGACTATCAACGCCTAAAAATAGCCACGCTTTTACCAGAGTAGCGTTATCACAACACGATTTTGAAGCCGCTACGAGCATAACAAGTTAAGGATCTGGTTTAAAAAGAGACGATGAAACGAGCGCTATCACCCTATCAAATACTCCATCTGCCTGGATTTTGCCCTGAAAAGCACGAATTCCGTGTGTTGACAATCGATCAGCACAAACCACATTACTCTGGCATATCTGCAACTCTGAATGTGTCCTTGTCTATACGAGAGACTGTCAAAACACATTCAAAGTGTTAACAGAAACAAATTGCTTAAAG